CGTTCACACCTCAACTGCTAGCAGAGCAACTCACCCTCCCTGATTGAACTAACCTCGTTATCTCCATACTGATTTATACCTGCCTCTGGAAATTTCCATTACTTGCATCTGAAGAAGTGAGGTTCTTACCCACGAAAGCTTATGCTCCCTATACTTCTGTTAGTCTTAAAGGTGCCACAGGACCCTCTGTTACTGACTACCCACAGGAAACAGTGACTCTGACTACACCCAAAGTACAGTCAAATGCACAAGGGTTCAGTGGTTCGGACACTAGCGTGGCACTTGAGGGCAATTCCTTGCTTCATCATAGATATCTTGTCACTTCATTTCTCCATGCTTCAGCTCCCCAGCTCAAAACTGGGGATAACAACACTGTCCTACCACACAGCAGTGTTGTGCAGACGAACACAGGAAAGACTGAAATGCTCAAACGCCACAGTAACGGAGGCCATATAAGTACCTAAGATAGATAGATTAGATGGGATCAACAAACTGAATAAAAAGAAATATGATTGGTTCGTCTCATTTCCCGTGATCTTAGTCGTTATTTGTAACAACAGTAGGTAAATTATTTTCAGACAGAAGCGTGGTGATGGAGTCCCCTTCACTAGATTGTATCCTTCTAATACTGTAGTAACCCTTACGGGTTAACTAGACTCACTGTACCCTTCCATTCTCCAGGTGCCAACAGAGATTTCAGTGATAAGATTTATTTCTTTGAATAAACAGGAGAGAGGAACTTGGCCAAGCAGCTGTATGGAAGATTTTGCTGTTTAAAAGTAACAGTAGGGGTAATAGTACTTTGTAGGGACAGGGAGGGGCTCCCATAGCACAAGGCCTGAGCTGGTAAAGCAATAAAACAGCAGCAGTCAGAGGAGAATAGGGGAAGAAGGTACCTCAAGCCAGGGAGTCAAACACACCAGGGTTGCAAGTTTCAAACCAGCAGAAGGAAATACCTTTCATGCAACACAGAGTTAGCTTGTGAGCTCCTTGCAACAAGGTATCATAGCAGCCAAGAGCTTAGCAGGATTCTTTCTTTTTTTGGTTAAAGTTTGGACGTTTTGATGGATAATTAGAACATCCAGGGATACAAAAGAGAGGATTTAAAAAAAAACACCACTTTTGGAAGGGATCTAATACCCACCTACTTCAAGGCACAAGGCCACCTCTGACTCATGGGGGGGAAAGGAAGAAAGCTTCCCCATGGGTCGGTGATCCAAGAACTGCCTACTGCAGAATTAATTTCACCTTTCTCTGACGCAGCTCAGCTGGTACTGGCCAGTCAGAGTCAGAATATTTGACTAGACGGATCACTGAGTTCTCCATTATGGGACTTCCTCCATTTTTACATTCTGGTTATTTCAGTGCTCAGTCACCCAGCCCTAGTTTACACCCAAATCCTGAACAGAGACCAAAGCTCAGGGGAACTAGATCCTGACCCAGCCCTGACCCATGCCTCCCCTTGACTTCACTGGAATGATTTGTTCACTCTTCAGACCCTGTACACTCCTGCCATTTTCTAACCTATGTCTGCACCCCCTCCCCAGGGGAGAAGGGCTCTTACCCCAGCGTGGACACAGGAGGAAATGTTTCCACATGCATCCCAGCCACCCCTTCCATAACCAAATCTAAGTCTTCATAATGGGCAAGGGCATGCGAGGCAAAGATGAAGAGTCACAACCCTGGGTTGCATTTCTGCTGCAGGACATGGTACTTCCCAGGATTCCAGGCTGATCTTTGGAAGGGCCTGAAGTACCTCCCCAAACCAGAGAAATATAAAAAGATCAGCAGACACCACCAGCAACCTGTACAATCAGAACCCTAGAGGCCAACCCAGACCTGCCTAACTCCAGACTGTTCCTCCATCAGTCCTGGCCTGTCGCCTCCTGCTTGGTAACTGGAAAATTCACAGGCTCAGGCAAAACATATTACTGATAGGTCCACCCCTGTCATCAGCTAAAGGCAGACCTAGCCTCCATACCAGTCAGTATTTCAGGCAGTGGCAGCTGAGTGTTACCTGACTCCAGTGCACATAAGAAACTAATCAATAACTTAGCACTTTGATAGCTGTCACTCTTTCCATCTTCAAAGCGCTGCCCAAACATTATTGAAGAATCTGCACAGCAGCCCCTCAGTGACGTAGGGAAGTGTTTACTCCCCTCATTTTACAGAGGACTACGACATTGAAACACACACCGTGACATGCCCAAGGTCACATAAGAAGTCAGTAATGGACCGGGCTTCCTACCTTGCAGCCCAGTGCTTAGTCCCCTGGTCCATGCTGCCTTCATGGCCACATCATTAGAATGCAAATGGCAAAGCAGCTGGGATAGGAAGGGTTAAACAGGGTGTGGTCCCTTCATGTTTTGCATTTTGGAAGCGAGCATGTTATTAGAACAGACAAAGTGATTGAATCGGGCACGCAAACTGCAATCATTTCATATGCATGTTGTTTCTACCAATCCACACCTCTCTCCCCGTCACACCAAGAAATGGCTGCACTACGGAAACATGGCAAGGAACTCTAAGCCCGGTGTACATGCTCCATGGCACACACATACACGGCCTGCAGCCTCCCACGCAAAAGGGAGATGGTTTCATACTCATAGCAGAGCAGAGCAAGGCATGCAGCTAGTTTACAGGTCTCGGGAAGTGGGGCATTTAAAGCAGTTTGAGTGGGCACAGAGCAGATATCCAGTTTACACTTGTCAAAGAGCTGGCCAGTGATGTTGGAAGCATAATGCTGGACTCCTAGCTGGCATTAACAACACACGGCCAGTGTCCATAAGAAAGGTGCATGTCTAGTAAAATGAGAGCCAGGGTCTCTTATGTTCTGATCCCAACTCTGGCAATGACTGGTTGTATAGGCCCTGTTTTGAAAATTAGGAATGGAATTGATGCCAGTATTGGTGGGGCACCGCAGTGAGGAATATCACACTGGGTGGACTATTATATTCAGGTTCTTATGCTTTGCCCATCAGCCTGGAATCTGAGCACCTAGCATGAGGGGAAAGCTGCAGCCAGACATGTCTGACGGGACGTGCTGGTAGCATCTTATGAGACTAGGAATACTTGTGGCACCTTAGAGACTAACAAATTTATTAGAGCATAAGCTTTCGTGGACTACAGCCCACTTCTTCGGATGCATATAAGTACTCCTGTTCTTCTTTTTGCGGATACAGACTAACACAGCTGCTACTCTGAAACCTGTTCTTATGAGACTGTTAGGTGAAAACTCAGCCACCTTCCAAAGATCTCTTTGAAAGAGCAACTTGCATTTCCATGGCTGTCCCCTCTTAGCACAGCTCTCTGTGTGCTCTTGAAAGCAATAACTGACAGACCAGTAAAAGAGCAACTGAGTGTTGATAAAAACAGCAACTCCCCACATTATGGATACCTGCAAATTAAACTAATTAATGCCCAGCGAGGGAGCCAGGGCAGTAATACTGGACAATGAATCATGGTGTGAGGCACGCCTCTGGATGGATTACCACAGGAATCTAGATCCCCTTTTCCAAAACGCCAGGCAGAAGAGACTTCATTTTGATGTCCTAACAGGTGGGCGGAGACACTAGCATACATAGGGTCCCTAACACCACATCCCAGAACTGGCAGAATACCTCCAGATTAGAAGGGACAACACCTCGAGCAGTACTTCGCTCTTACTACATGTATACTGGGCCATATGCAAATGGAGAAAGGCCATGTTAAGAAGAACAGCACCTCCAGCAACACAGCATCACCTAGCAGTGAGGGCTGGAATCGGGTGTATAATCCTGGGATGAAGGGCTGAGCTCCTCGTAGCATGGCACCCCATAACATCACACACTGGAGCAGTGGAGGGTATGAGCATAGCATGGGTTTGATAGCTGTGCCCTCTCTGAGGGATCGTATCCTGCCCTGCAGAAGGGTGGAGTTGTTGATCTAACAGGCCTTTGCCATTTTCAGCTATGATCTTACATCCAGGCTTTGAAGGCCTGCCTCCAGCAGCAGAGCAGCCCCTACCGCCACCCTGAAGTAGTGGGGAGGAATTACATCCAGGTCACCAAGGCCAGCACCTCGGCCTGGCTGGGGATGTTGGCAGTAGGCCGCCAGCAAGAGGCCACACCTGGAGCAGCCCAACTCCCGCGAACACCATGCTGAGGAGGAGGAATCTGGATTTGCTCCAGGTTTCTTCCAGTCTATGTGACCTTCTGACTCAGCAGAGAGAGAACAGACCCAGTGAACCGGCAACATCCCTTAGGGGAGGAATGAGATTACACAGGGCGCCTGGCATTCCCGATTACAGGGAACCGGAACGGGCCTGCTGCAGTAGCCATAACACGAGCGAGGGCAACGAGCAGCTAGTCCCCTCGCAGGGCTCCTCAAGGCTGGCCACACACCAGCGCAGGGGGCAGAGGGGAAAGTCTCGGTGGCATGAAGGGGAGGGAGGAGAGACCCAGCCAGCAAACAGCCCCTTTCCCAATGCCCAGGCACCCACTCCTCCAGGGGCAGCCCCTGCCCTACCTTTGCCCTTCTTGGCTCGCTCCTCCTGCTTCTTTCCCTTAGAGGGCGCCTCCCCCTCCGCTGGGGGCGCCCCATGGTGGGCGTTGGAGCCGCTGCTCTTCTTCTTCTTCCTCTTGCCCCGAAGCCAGCTGAAAGCCCAGCGCAGGCTGGAGGAGCCAGACTTGGGCTTCTTCTTCCTCGGGGGCCCCTGCGCGGAAGGCACGTCCCCTTTTTCCTGTCCGCCGGCGGGGAGCCAGGTGTCCTCAGCCGCCGCAGGTGCCTCCTGCGAGCGCCTCCCGGACATCTCCGGGCAGGGGAGGGTGGGTCGCCGAAAGCCCCGCTTCACGGGGAGAGCTCGCCTCGGCTACGCTCCGCCCGGGGGAGCCACCGCAGGACGCGAGCTCCCCATCCGGGGTGGGGTGAAGCGCCTCCCCTCCCAGTCTCCCGTGCCCCACGCCGGAGCCTCCTCTCCCGTGCGCCCCAGCCCGCCAGGCTCCCGCCTCTCCCCTGCGCCCAGGGCTCCGGGCCCCCCTCACCTGCCCCGGGACACCCCCCGCGTTCCCCCTTCCCCGTGCGCCCCAGCCCAGGCTCCCCGTCCCCCCGGGGCTGTTCTGCTCCGGGTCCGCTCTGCGCCCGGCTGCACAAGGCGCCAAGGAAGCAGCCGGGGAAAGTTTCTCCCGGACGGGCGGGCGGGCGTGTGTGGAGCGGGCGGGGCCTGCCGAGCGCGCTGGGGTGTGGAGAGGCTCTGCCCCCGGCCCCTCACTCCGCCTCCCCGGCTGCCCGGCCCCGGCCCGGGGCTCCGCGAACGCTCCGCAGAGTGCGCTCCCTAGCCCGCGCAGGGCGCACCGGAGCGGGGCCCGGGCTGAGCTACCCATCCCGGCCCGCTGCCAGGGAGCGCGGCGGCAGGTAGGAGCCCCGGCGGCGGCCTAGGCGGAATAGGTCGGTGGGAGGGCCTCGGGGAGATGCCTAGCGGAGGAAGGGGGCTGACCCCGAGGGTAGGGAGTGAGGGGCTAGGAAGCTGAGCTGCCCCTGAGGAAGGGGAGGTGCGTGGGCCAGAGGAGGGCTGTATTGTGGGGGGCAGCAGGGGGCAGGTTCAAATGGGGGGGGGGGTTATCTCCTCCTCCAGGCTGGGGAGGGGCACCGTGCTTCCGAGCCAACCACCCCTGGCTCTGCGGAGGCTCCGAGCCCGGGAGCAGGCTGGAGAGAGAGAGGCCCCATTGTGACTGTCTGATTAGAGGGGAGCGGTGGGGCGAGGATTACACCAGCAGGATGCAGTGCCTGGCTCTGGGCAGGATGTAATTCCCCCCCCGCCCCAGCTTTCTCCCTTCCCCTCTGCCTCCCCCACGCGCTTGCCCTGGTGTGTGTTTGGAGGAGGGGGTGTCTGCATTGAGATTACGGGGTCATCTTTAAACGAAAGAATTATCGCTTTTTATTGAACCTTTCCCTTTGCATTTTATTAAAATTGGCTCCCGAGCCCCATCACATGGGAGCCTGGGGGCATTTCCAGCATCCCTTGTAAAAAAACGAATCTCCTATTCTAGCCATGGTGGGTTTGGTCAGTTTTTTAAATCTAAAACCCCAGCAGTCACAGCATTTAAAATGGAAGTGAGTGTGGGGTCTATTGGTTAGAGCTGGCACTATGAGCTTATATCTGGAGGACTGGGGGTTAGGACTCCTAGGTTCTACTACTGAGGTCTTGGACAGGAGTATAGTCTAATGGTTAAAGCAAGAGATTGGGAGTTCCATCTAATCTGCTGCCAATGGGGATATCAGCACTCCTGAATTCTTGTGTGATCATGGGCAAGTCCGTGCCTCAGTTTCACTATCTGAAAAATGGTAAGTAAAAACATTTTAAGCTTCACCACTCACCTTTCAGGGCTTTACAGGATCTTCAGAAGAGGTGCAAGTTATATACAATAATATAAAGTCAGTGCAACGGAATGAGGAGGGAGAGATTACTTCCAATTTCATGACTGTTCTTTTCCCCTTTTATTGCAGGTAGCCTGGTACCACAGTGGTGCTTTGAACTGAAGTCCTGAAACTTGATGTATCCTGGAAGCAAAGCACAGTCTTATTGTTTCATGAATGATGACAAAGCTAATCAAGGGGACACTTCCTGAGCATAATTGGGGAACTGATAGCCTGGATGTGACCAGGGTCATTAACCCTCTGTTGGTCATTCATTCCTAGTAAATGCCTTGTGTCAAGCTCCGGCTTGTTGTTTATAAGTCTCAATTGGAAAATAAAAAGATATTGGGTCTTTAATTGTTTGATGCAGTTTTATTAGTCTGTATTTATAAAACAAGTAAATGTAAGATACAATTTGAGAAGAAAAGTTCTGCCTGTCAGGTGCAAAAAGCCCACACCTAGCAGAGCAGAGTTTAGACTGGGAGTGGATGGGTCATTATACAAACTAAAAACCGACAGGTTTCAGAATAGCAGCCGTGTCAGTCTGTATCCGCAAAAAGAACAGGAGTACTTGTGGCACCTTAGAGACTAACAAATTTATTATTTCCCCATGCTAATTTTTCCTCTACTGTTACTCACACCTTCTTGTCAAATGTTTGAAATGGGCCATCCTGATTATCACGACAAAAGTTTTTTTTTCTCCTGCTGATAATAGCCCACCTTAATTGATTATTCTTTTTAGAGTTGGTATGGCAACCCCTATTTTTTCATGTTCTCTCTCTGTGTGTGTGTGTGTGTGTGTGTGTGTGTGTGTATACACACAATCTTCCTACTGTATTTCCCACTGCATGCATATGATGAAGTGGGTTTTAGCCCATGAAAGCGTATGCCCAAATAAATTTGTTAGTCTCTAAGGTGCCCCAAGGACTCCTCATTCTTTTTGCTGATACAGACTAACCCGGCTACACTCTGATACTTCGTGTATGTCTGTCAGAATTATAAGTGAGTGGATCCAAAGCTACTGGAGATAGTGTTTAATCCCAGACGAATTTACAACTCTCATGCATCCACCTATGCCTGAGAAACACAAACATTCCCAGACAGACACAGAACCTTTAGGGGAAGGGGAATGTCAAAGCAGGCTGCCAAAATAGCTGCAGTATGAGTGTTGTGTGTGCGAGCCAGGAGGATAGCTTGAATCATCCTCTGCTCTCAAGATTCCATTCATCTCCTAATGATGCATCCTAAAGCCACTGAAGGAGCTGTTATACATCTTGTCAGAGCTATTAGTTGGCAGATCTTTGACATGATGCATTGTAATGGCTAGCCATACATCCTGTCAGCCTGCCCCTTGCAATATTATTGTGTTAAAACAAAGGGGTGGGCTACAAACCTTGCAAGAAAGCAGAAGCTAATTTTCTGTGTTACAGTGCTATGTGACAAACAAGTTACCCATGTTTTAAGTTATTGTGCAGATGTATTTTCTAACTGTGTAGGCTGCCTGATTGCTCTTTAAAATGCAACCTTTCTTAGAGGCTCAAAACGCTCTGCCTAAAGACGGATGACTTTTTGCCAACTTCTAGAAATGGCTAGAAGGATTTTAAACCTCAGTCTCTGGAAACTAGCCCCTGTCTCCTATGGGCTTCCTAGTACGTGTTTGTAGAGCCCTGCAAAGCTGTAGATAGCCGCGGACCATTTTTGCACATTGCTGATCGGATGTGGACACAAATTTTCTATCCACATATCTGTTTACTGTATCTATTTCATTCACATGGTCCGTTCTTAGGGTGTGTATTCTGTGATTTGTACAATGCTGAGTGTCTTGCTGCTGCTTAACAAATAAACAAAAAGGCTTCTGGACTGGAAATGTGGATACTGTGTAGCCTGGATTTCCCCATGAGCAGGGCTCTGATTCCCCAAACTTCAATTTTCTTTCATCCACACCGTCCCTCCTCTTAAACTTCTTTACTTAGATCTAAACTATGACTGAAGTAAACTATATTTTCCGATTGCTCCTGGTTTTGGCCCTTTCCTCAGCTTGCCTGTTTACTCCATGGTATGTTTAATGTTATCTAGGGGCTATGGTGTCTTTACCCTCACCCTTCAGTAGGGTCTAATACTGCACCCATCCCCTTTCATCTCTCCTTCCCTTACACCAAAAGGTCTGTGGCCTAGTTACTGACCCCTGCAACAGTTGCAATTTGTTCCACCTTAACTACTGTGGTATGAGTGGCAACCTTGACATAGTCATCACTATTCCCCTAGGACTGCAACATGGCTCCAGAAGGATGGATTTCCTGGCTAACCTGGCCCCTCCAAGAGCAGCCCAGTCCCAAAGGAAACAATGATTATATGTGAAATTCACATCTGAGAGAAGCAGCTGTGAGGAACTCGACCTGCAAAGCTTTTGCTGTGGGCCCATGGGAACAAGCTCCACCAACCCCACCTTGCACAGATCTGGGGTATACAAGCAGAACAAATGTGGTGTTTGTCAGGAAAAGTGCATGTGACCAATTTAAAAATAACTGAACTTTGCAGGGGAAAAGCTAATCCCTAATTAGGGCTTTTTTTTCTTTTTTTTTATACTTTGTGCTGCCGGCTGCTAATGAGTCATGAGCCTTCCACAAAGTGATCGTATTTTTCACCTCTTTCCCCTCCTCAAGTGGCAACTGAACCAGTTTGAAAATATCTTTGCACTCAGTTATGGGGCGTTGTCCAAATAATTATGAAAAGAGAGGCAAGAGAATAACCATTAGCCTGCAGGGAAATCTATCCCATTAGAGGTGCTAGGGAGGGAAATGAGGGATGAAAACACCCTTTCTGGGATGATTTCTAGAGGGTGACAAAAATGCCCATGTAGTAACTGCAGCCCTTACGTCAGTCTTATTTTATAGTTATGGCCTGAATCCCATATTATAATAATTGTACCCAGCCCTGTGATTAGTGCTGTTCATTGCTGTGCAAGAGACCAAGTGCTGTAAAGGTGTATTAACTTTGCTCAGGCCTTTCCACAAGGGTCAGCTTGGCTCTCCCACCTCTCCCCTCCCCCAAGCTAGTCTATTGTTAATGTCCTACTCAACAGTCTCCTTTTATAGTCGTGGCACTGGTTAGAGGAGTGATCTATAGGTACTGCTGACCACCTTCTACTGCTGGAGTAGTCAGCACAACACTACAAGAGGACCCAGAGAGTGGTGGGGGGGGGGGGCAACCGCAGTTCTTCCCCAAAAGCCCTGCCCTGCAGAGTCCCATGAGGATTATCCTGCCTAGTCATTTGCAGTATTTACAAGCCGCGGCTGGAGAGGTGGTGTGATGCTGTGGGTTCCACTGCCAGCAATGCACTCATGATACCCAGCTGTGTAACTCATTTTCTGCAGATGCAGCCAAGACCATTGCAAGGGTGTCAGAGTGCCTAGAGGAGATCAGTGTCTGGAAAAAAAGAAGCTGGCTCAAACTCAACTCAAGCAAGACCAAAGTGACGCTGGTTGGGAGGGGAAAATGTTTCCTGGCATGAGTCAGGACCCTGACCTCCCCTCCCACTAAAGGCATCTGCCCCCTATTTATTACAGTGGTGCAAAGCCTTGAAGTCCTGCTGGACTCATCACTAACCCTGGTTGACCAGGCAGTGACAATGTCAAGGAAAACCTTCCAGTGGCAGCTTGCGGGGACATTGCCCTTCCCCTCAGAGGAGGATCTTCTGGCCTCCCCAATGATCCATGCATTTATTACCCCGACTGGATTTCTGTAACTTACTCTATCTGGGGCTGAAAGTGGAAGCAATGCATAGGCTCCAGTTTGTGCGGAATACAGCAGCCCGACCCCTCAGTGAGACCAGCCCCTGACAGCACATCACCCCTGTGCACCAATCCCCCCCTACTGGCTCCCAATCAGTTTCTGCTGACAGTTCAAGGCAATGAGTCTGATTTACAAAACCGTCAGTGGGTCAGAACCCAGCTACATCAATGACCAAATCGCCATCCAAGACCAAAGTACTTCATCTGGGACAAAGCAGCTGACGAAACCCAGGACAAGGAGTGTGAGGGGAAAAGCAAAAGCATTCTTGTCCCTGGGGGCTTGACCATGGATTGAGCTATCAGAGGACATCAAAACACATTGCAGGATCCTCAATGACACAGGTTTCTCACAACAACAGCAAGTTTTCTCTCTTATTAAAACTCCAGACACACCCAAGCCAACTGTCCTTAACCTTGGGACAGGCAAAGAGCAGAATCCTCTGAAGTTTACTATAGTTGTTGCAGTGCAGGTCCAAAAGACCTATGCAGCATTTAAGAAGCTATAGTGATTGGGGGATGGGGGGCAATAGAAAACCTTAAGACAGATGAAGTTCAGATGCTTTTTGCTGGGTTTTGTTCCCTCATTTCCTCTAACGCTCCTTTCCCCCATTATATTACCTATTTTAGGTACTACTATGGCCCTCATTATCCCAGTCTCTGAGCCCCTCGCAATCTTTAATGGGTTTATCTTCACAAGACCCACAGTATTATTATCCCCATTTTAAAGATGAGCCCCCAAAGCACAGAGAGACGGAGTGATCTGCCCAAGGTTATAGAGAGTAAGGTGGAATAAACACTGAAGCTGGGACTCAACTCCCAGACTAGATCCCCAACCACTGGACCCTATTTCCTTTCCTATCATAGAGCCAGTGCCCCAAAATTAATGCTGATCTTGCCTGCCAATCACTAATCTCATAGCCGCAGAGATTAAGGTTGAGAGGAGATATTTGCTGAGTAAGAATTTCCATGAAACATTTGGACAAAGAGAGGTTTCATTTCTGGATTGTACTTTGAGCCTTATGGTCAATTTTTAAACAGAGAACGTTGCCCTCTGACGTGTTGGCTGATCTGAGATGTTACGTCAGGAATAAGAGACAGGTCTGGTCGTTGCAGAAGCTTGAATGCTCCTGTTATTTCCTCCCTCTGGTAAGGATCATCTTCAAATCAAGTAGAGCTTTGCTAGTGAAGAGACAAAAATGAAACGGCAGGAATAGGAACAATGGGCAGAATTTGAATGTCTTCATTTTGTACATGTGCAGCTGAATTTCATACTGGTCTGACAGCTCTGGAACCTCGAGGGGTGAGATTTTTGAAGGTATGTAGGCATCTAAAGATGCAGGTGAGCATCTGCAGGGATTTTAAAATGCACCTCGGTGCCTAACTCCCATTAGTTTGCCCAACCTGCTCAGGTGCTTTCGTAATTCTCAGTAGCTGCCTATCTGCATCTTCAGGCACTTAGGTACCTTTAAAAATTTGGCCCAAGGCCTCTATCAACAGAACACGTAGAGCACGCAGGCTCCCTTCGCTTCCCAAACATTATTCAATCAGTATACTTAGCCCGTGGGGCTTATGCAGTCCTGCCCCTGGCCTCACTTCTGAGACTCCCAACAGGGGGAGCCAACTGCCGTGGAACAGTTCCGCCCTTCCCCCCCCCCCGCAAAATTTCCCTGATTAATGCAAAAATAGGAGGCTAAACCAGTGTCCAGGGTGGGGACTGTGTGCCCTTGGGCCACAGGTCCAGCTGAGCTGTGCTTGGCCAGGATGGGGGTGCAAAAGTCACTATGTCACCTTTATACCCTTTCTCTGACGCTGGGGCCAATTCATCCCCCTGTACGAGTTAGAGCAGCCTCGGGGCAGCTCTAACTTATGCCAGCTGGTAATGGCCCCCAATGGGCTGTTAGATCATATGGGAATCACCAGAGAGCAGCAGTGCTCTGACCACTCCCCTCACTGTCCCCTGTCCCCACATTAGCTGGGCAGCTATGGATTTCTCCAGGGTGGCAAAAAGAGGCCATAGCATGAGCCAGATCTGGTCTTGCAGTCCCTCTCCTCCATCTGTCTAGATGCTCCCCCTTTAAATATGTGCTTTTAGAACAGCCCACCCTCAAATGAATCCCATTCAGATGCTGAACTCTCTGTGCCTCTGGTTTCCTCCCTCATGTGGACACCAGCGAGGCCATCCTCCCTGGGCCCTGTCTCTCCTCTGTCTATCTCAGCCTCATTAATACCCAGTAACATCTTCTTTGTAACCTGCACTGAGGCTGCATTATAAGGGCCTTGTTCAGATCAGAAGGCACAGTTGTTCTTGCCCTCTGACCTGTGCAGTCACACCTAACTAACCTGCTCAGGACACCTCAGCTTTTCATCTCCTAGGTCACAGCAAACACCTTGCAGCTGTAACTCACAGAGTCCCAGGAGTTGGAAAGAATCCACCCAAGGTTCCTGTTAATTTTTACCTGTATTTCTCTCTTCACCCAGCTGTGTGTGGAAAGTGTAACTTGATCTGTGTCCTGCCCAGACAGGCGCTAGCTCTGGGCTCCTTCACAGCTGGGTGTGCCGGCTGGAACAAAAGTGACATGGCCACTTCCAGAGCCTGAGAGGTGTTTCTGACACTTCTGTGCCTGCTTTGAGAACAAACTTTTTGCTGAAAGGAACCTGGCAGTGACGGGAGCAGTCCAGTCTGTGCATCTGCTCTAACACAGTGATCCCAAGAGATGGAAAAACCTAGCCAAGAGCCTTTTAGGCAAGCACTCAGGCCCCGCAGAGGCCATGTTAGCTGAGCCCAGACTATCCATGAATCATTGCAACTGTTTGGGAAGGGAAATGTCTAATGGTTAGAGCAAGGGGGCCTGGGTGTCGGATCCCTGGATTCTATTCTCAATTCTGTCCCTGATTTGGACAAGCCACTTACTCGCGCCGTGCCTCAGTTTACCCATTTGTTACATGGAAACAATAATTCTTCACAGGAGCATGGAAGTTAAATAATTTATGCTAATCAATTAATCAGTATAATTTATTAGGGCCAAAAACTCCATTTTCAGTCGGTCACAGATTATTTATTAAGTGTACTGCATTAGTGCCAGAACCCCCTTGTGCTAGGTGCAGTACAGACACAAAACAAAAAGACGGATCCTCCCCCAAGAACTGACAATCTAAGCCCGGGGTAGTCAAGAGGTAGGTCGGGAACCAAATCTAGACTGCCAGATGCTTTTGAACAGACCACAAAATCTTTTTATTTACTTATTATCATCTTTATTGTTACTATTTTTGTATTATTTTCTCTGGAGTCTGGAACTTTGACTATACCTTGACCAAGAAACTTGGACCTTGACAAAAAAAGAATTGATTACCCCTGACTAAGCAATCACAGATGTGTCAGCTTAGTACTACAGAACCACTGTCACTTGGGGCAAGCTTTACAAACTCCGGTGACGATTCTCCATGCTGCAAGGCACAGAGACACTAACGGGGGCAGGAATGGAATATTCCCAGTGAAAGGGACTCCACACCGCAGTAGGGCCAAACTAGTATCGGGGTTGGGGAGTGGGGACAGGGAGGGGGAGTGCTTAGACCACTGCTGCTCTCTCTGGTGAGCCCCATCTGATCTAACAGCCCTTTGTGAGTCATTAACAGCTGGCACAAACTGGAGCTGCCCCAAGGCCATTCTAACTTCTGATCTGAATGGGTTTTTCCCAAGCATTCCAAAATCATGAGTCAGGCCCCCACCAAAATCATGTGATTAACTTCAAATTCAGGAGGGTTTTTGAGAGCAGGTAAATAATAAATTCTTTTCCTTTTGCCTTCTGGTGTTGGAGCCCTTAGGCCACACTTGGGGTCACACTTTCAAGCTTTTCTCTGCGACCACAGGGACTAGAAACTTACTGTTTATTTTTTAAATGGAGGCTGCGACTCATGTACTCACCTCACTCCAATAGCAGGGGCCTTAAGGCAAACATCAAATTGCGTGAGATTCATGGTGGCAACACTGCCACCAGCATGGAACATCTGGAGCAGCTGTTTGCTAGCCCAGCTCCCAGCCCCAGGGGTGTCAGGAAGGGCGGGGGTAAGCGGAGCACACTGCGCTACAGCTATTCTCGACTTCCCAAGGCCCATAAGACCCTAAATACAGAGGAAGATGCATGGTCCCCAAGTGGCTCCACAGCGTTGTGAGTTCAGTCCTTGAGGGGGCCACTTAGGGATCTGGGGCAAAATCAGTACTTGGTCCTGCTAGTGAAGGCAGGGGGCTGGACTCGATGACCTTTCAAGGTCCCTTCCAGTTCTAGGAGATGGATATCTCCATTATAAAAATAAAAAACACAGGGATTGTAAAGGAGAGTTAAAGCCCCCTTTGCCTCACCCACCCCCACTTTCTATTCCTGTGCTCAGTTCAGGGACAGACTAACGAAGAATCGTGGCCTCTCGTTCTTGTTTCAGGAAAGTTGTATGTGGTCTATGCGAGACATAAGGCCCTTATGGCAGGGACAGTGTCTTTCATTGGGTTTTGTACAGCACCAGGCACACTAGCCGAGATCCCTACGTAACCACGCTAAGCGCAGAACAGGTTTTTTCATTACAATGCTCAAAAAGCAAACACACTGTAACTCGTGATGAACATACAGGGAGGGATTCATCAGGGGTTTGGAATGATAGATAAAAGTTTGCAATTTAGAAAGATGTTTTAGAAAAGAACATTTGAAAAACATCTCATTCAACTGCCATGTGCATTGTCTGTGCTCCTTTGTAAAACAGGGATAATGACATGGCCCCTCTCTGGTAAGGTGCTTTGGGAGCGCTGGATGAGAAGCACCATATCAATGCTAAATGTTATTTCCTTCCCCATCTCTAGTGATTGCACCAGGATGTAAGTGCGTGAACAGCAGCCTTTTCCTTTCTAATCAGGCTGCTCCATTCAGTGATATGCGGGCCAGGGCTGCTGATGCCCCACTTTATAGCCGGGTAAGTGATTGTATTGTCACAGCTGCTGAATAGCATCATCGCTGCATGAATCGTTCAGGCCAAGGGAGCAGATTAGAGAGGACACAGCTTCTGTTTACACACAAATAGCTTGTAAGTCAGTAAAGAGGGGGCAGGAAACACAGAAAAGTACATGACATTTTAGTAGGGCTGTCTGTCCGTCTAAGGCAGTGGTTTTCAACCTTTTTTCATTTGCAGATCCCTTTGGAAATCTCAGACATAGCCTGTGGACCCCAGGTTGAAAACCACTGTTCTATGGTAACGATATCCTTTCGCAGACCCCTTAAACATAGTCTGTGGACCCTCAGGGGTCTGCAGACCACAGGTTGAAAACCACTGGTCTAAGGCATTTCCTGTGTGCCCGTCACTATAGTATCTAGATGCTAAAGGATCTGATGGGCATGGGATTTGATAACACGCTATTGTTGACACATCACATGTTTACACTTTGTAAAGTTTGCTGCAGCCTAATAGTGAGAGTTTGAATTAGGTGAAGGTGCAGCTCCCGAACGACGGACAAAGCAGCAGGGCTGCCTAGCACCTGCCCCCGGCTTGCTGTCATTCAGCCCACGTGGACATCTGTGCAGCCTGGCCCCGATGCAGGAACACATGCCTATCCAGGATAGCACCTAAGCATTGAAGACATATGCCCTGGTGTCTTCAATGGAACTTAGTTGCATGCTTAAAGTTAAGAATGCAATGAAGTGCCTTCCTGAATCAGGACTGGGGTGTGTTGATCAGGCAGCACTTGGTTTCAGCCAGGAGCTGGTCAGCCACTGGGACATGGCTTATGCAAATGACCTTCCCATGAGCCCTTGGAAGGAACTGTGAGCGTGTCCGAAACTCCTGCAAACCACAAGTTGCAATACAAAAGACAGGCAGCTGCAGTGATGAGGAGGGATCAGAAAGCTTTGGGAAATGTGTCTGTGAATATTAATACTGAATGGCAATTAGGAGGACATTGTCAAAAGACAGCTCATAATTTTAGAATCAGCGCATTGTTGTTACAAACTTCCCCTCAGCAGCATGACCCTGAAAGCTCTTTGCTAGCTCCATCCATGCACACGTCTCATGAGCACAGTGGGTTGTCAATAATGTGGGGTTATCATCAAGGGCTGGGCTCTGTCTTCAGCAGTTTGTTCATGTAGGGTTGCTCATGCGTGCTGAGCTGCACGCACACACGTGTTTATGAGTGTAGGGGTGTACATGATTGCTGGGCTACACACACACATGCTCACATTTATTATTGTAGGGCTGGTCTTGGGGTTGTAGTACCAGAGATTGCACTGAGGTTTTGGCTGCTTTAGACAAAAGAGCACTGACAAACGTTTTGCAAAAGGATCTGAACATGACACAGACTGCAGGGAGAAATAAAGGGAAAAAAAACCCATCCTTTTGATTTTGGACCTACCAGCTTTAATGTCATCCACTGAATAGAAGTTCAACTCGTGTGCATGGCCGTAGCTGATTTTTGGATATCCCAGCTTTGAAGCAAAACTGTAAGAACTAAAACAGGAGGTAAGTTTCTCTCCCACGTGTTTGGGGGTCAAACATTGCCAATTCCCAGCCTCCTGCAGCCTCTTCTTTCTGCAGGACTGGGAGCATCCTCACAACACAGCTTGGCTTTCGCTGTTTGGTGCCTGAACCTGCTTCTGAGAAGTGTGTGGAGCCATCAGGACAAGGAAGCAGTGGGAAGTCGGAGCATCAGTGCCACCGACATAAGCAAAGGGATTGTCTGGAGGATACTTCGTGGCACAAGGGAAAGGAACAGAGCTTGCTCTGCCGAGCCTCGGCGTGAGCAGACCCCCACCCAGAAGACACAGGAGTTCTGTGGTGTAGCCACGATGGCTATTATCATTATTTGTATAACAGTAGCACTGAGAGGCCCCCAGCTGAGATCAGCATCCCATTGTGTTCGGTGCTGTGTAGATAGAGAGGGAGAGAGAGTCTATACCTCAAAGAGCTTAGAGCATACATAGACAAAGGATGGGAGAAGAGACTTGCCACAGGGTTACCCAGCAGGTCAATAGCAGAGTTAGGAACAGAACCCAGGTCTCCTAAGTCCCAACCCAGTGTCCTACCCAATGGACCATGCTGCCGCTCTAGCACCAGTTGGGGGTCAGCCTCTCCCTGCTGCAGCTTTTTTGCCTTTCTTGGAGAAAAACCTGGCTCCAACCCTTCACGCCAGATTTCGCTCCTCCACTTTGCCGAGACGGAGCTAGAACAGGCTAGAGGAGCTGCAAAGTGGGCTCCCACCTAGCCCTAGCCCCAGTGCTCTTAGGGTTCCCCCCTGGAGTCTTCTCATAGCTCGCTCTCTCCGTCAGCCACTAACTTGGAAAGAGCTTCCCAGTCCAGCCACGTGGAGGTGGGGGTGATTCCCAGTACAGCTCGCTGCAGGTGGAGGTGGGGGTGATTTGGCTGAAGGAAGGCTGGGCAAATGCAGCAATAGGAAATTTTATTTACTCCTCCAAGGAGGGAGGGGGCTGGCTCTGCTCCTCTCAACCCCAGATCCCCCTGTTTTACTCTGGGAAGGGGCTGATGCTGTGATTCTCACCCCCCGAGCCCTCCTGTCTCACCCAGGCAGGGGGCTGTCTCTGCCCCTTTAAACCCCAGAGCCCCCTTTATCCTCCTCTGAAGCTCTCCCCATAACCCTAACCTTGAGCCCCCACTCTCCCATGGGGCAACTCTCCCACGGGGCAACTGCTGTCATGAGAAAGCAGCTTTTCTCTTTTTCTCCCTTCCCTTTAAGCCAGTAGGGCCGACAGAAAGGGCCTAGGCAACTGGGAGAAGCTAAAAACTGCCAGCGATTGTAACCACCCTGCGGGCCCCAGCTCCGGGTGCCTCATTCCCCACAGTCACTCTATTGTCTGCACAAAGACAAGTTCCAAGCTCCTTCAGGAACATGGGAAATAGTGGGTGGTTGGCAGCCTTGGCCTCTTCCCTTTCATCTTTCACCCCCCACCACCACGGCCAGATGAGTTTTTAGTCTATTTTCTCCTCTTCTCCTTCCTCCTCCTCCTCCCCCCAGTCTCACTAGCTTTCTCCTGGTGTCTCCATCCGCTCGGTCTCTCCGTCCAGGCGCCTGCCTGAGAGCTCTTGATCTGATTCCCACATCGCACAAACAGCCCTGGATGTTTTGAACAGGGTTGCAAGTCTCTTTAGTGAAGGTTTGAATGCCAGACCCCCAGGACAGGAGAGGAAGCCTCCTGCAGACCCGCTACAAACAACTCGCCCAGCCAGTGGCAACAGGACTCCTCTGGATTTTTGGCATAATTCAGAACAGCTGCTGGGAATGAATTCTATGATTAAATGTGGAGAGCGAGCTCCTCTGGGGGGTGGCAGCTCCAAGCCACTGGAGCAGCACCACAGTGGGGGAGCCAGAGCGTGGTCCCTTAATATCCACATCAGGCTACATTGCCACAGGGGGGTGGAGATGCCCATGAATGAACATGGACACAACTGTCCTCCCAGCCTGCTATAGAGGGTGCAGACACAAGGACCATTGGTGCAGCCCTCACCACAATTAATCCTATTTACCCCTTTCAGTTGGGGGGTCCCAAAGTCTATTACTGGCATTACTGATTTAATCCCAAACAACCCCTCCAGTGAGGGAGGCAAGCATCACCCTTATTCACAGATGGGGAAACTGAGGCACGGAGCTGGGAAATGACTTGCCCAGGGTCATGCAGTGAGCGAGGGGCAGAGCTGGGAACAGAACCTCTGTTCCCGCTTCCCAAGCCGAGGCTGTAACCACAAGGCCCACTCCTCACAAAGGAGTCCTGGGGTGAATGAACAGGGGAGCTGCGCAGCCTTCTCACTCAGTCTAGGACAAGGCGTTCCCCTCAGCCCTGGGCTACACTGACTGAGCAGCGTGGAAACAACACACTCCCTTGTCTCCTAGAACATAACCACTGCCCTGCTCAATGAATTAACCTCAGCTGGTTCTAAGCTTCCTGGGAAAGGGTTTGCTCTGCTCAGAGGTGCCCAAATACCTTCCTATCTTAGTCTGGTTATCCCGCCCCGGCCCCTTTCTAGAGCAATCAGGGAGGGCTGCAGCTCCTGTGATTACCTCCCATCATCCCAACACTGCATTTACATTCCCTTCCTGCAAATAGCATGAAATTAAAGCAAATCAACAACACAATTATGCCCATCGCATGCACAGAGGGATGGGATGACACCCATGAGATAAGGATGAGGCTGTGACATGAAGCAACAAATCCAGGCAAGGTGATGCTTCAGACAAACCCTCCACCCCCAGCAAGGGCCCCCCGAGGGTTCATTTTGGTGCATTAGGTAAGGAGCCAGTGTGCTGCCTCCTCACGGCACAGCCTTAATATATTGGACTCAATTCATCCCTGATGTAACAATGAAGGCAATGGAATTACACCAGGAATCAGCCTGGCCCATATTGCTTTGTACAGGGATTGCCTGGGGGGGTTAAAGAGTTGAAACGAATTAACTAGTTCTAGTACGTACGAGTTCTACATGTGCAAACTGCCTCCTTTCGAATCGTGCCTATCCGTCCGTGTTCGTTCACAGCGCACCCATCAGTGCCGGAACTCAGCATCAACGGGTACTTACATGTTGGAACATGTACAAAAGGTGTCTTTAAAGATTCATGCCTACCACAAGCTCACACAAGGTTGGCCACACCCTCTCACTAGAATCCCTGGGGAAGGGGTGATGGGAGTGATGGGAACGATGGGAACAAACCTTACGGATTTTCTAAAATGGAGACTTTTACAAAAACTTTCTCCTGAACCCTCGGACTTTCCTCTCCTGCAGATCAGTGAGCGGAAGTGTAGCCTCTAGGATAGGTGAGATACTGGGAGCCATGGGCAGAGGGTGTCACAGGTAGAGTGACCAGATGTCCCGATTTTATAGGGACAGTCCTGATTTTTGGGTCTTTTTCTTATATAGGCTCCTATTACCCCCACCCCCATCCCGATTTGTCACCCTAGTTGCAGGCCAGGGGAGGCTAAGCCTCCCCAAACAGCCATGCGTGGCCCCACCCACACTCCGCCCCAAGGCCCCCTCCTGCCTCCAGGGGCACTCTTCCCCTGTAGCCGGGGCTAGGGGGGGTGGCTGGAGCCATGCCACTCACCTGACCGATGCTCCGGGGCTCGGGGCTGGGGTGGGGGGACTAGTGGCCGGGGGGGGGATGGGAACTCTGGGCTCCAGTGGGGGATGGGGGTGGGGCCTCAGGCAAAAGGGGCAGGGCTGGGACAGGCTGCCCACGCTGAGAGCTGTAGCAATTGTAAGGGTTTGTTTTAAACACAGGAGGTAATGTCTGGGCCAACCAGAAGAAGGCAACACTGGTACAGGGGTAGGGGTCATAGATCATATAGGCCAATCTCTGCAAATCAGGATGATGCAGGCAACAGGAGAGAGGGTCATATGTGGGGATGGGAATGGGGCTGTAACAACAGGGGAGAGAAGGCGGGTACCAGACAAGAGTCTGGAACAGAGCAGTGAGCAGCTAAAGGCTTTGCTGGGACTGTTCCATTCCTCTTTGCTTCCTCGCCAGCAGAGCGGATGTTGCGATATTGCATTGCACTGGGAGAGCAAAGTCACTCTCATGCCAAGAGAAATACACACAGAATGAGAACAAAGGAGCAAATGAGGGCCACACCCTGGAATTAAGAACAAGGGCTGCACTATTTGAGTCATATCACTCAGCTACTCCCCCAGGAGATCTTGGGAGACCTCGGGTATCAGTGCAGGAAAAGAGGCGGCCACACACACAGCCAGAGCTAGGGAAACGCCCAGATGCACACATACAGTCAGAGACGCACAAACAGTCATGGAAACACAGGCTGAGTGTCATGGAAACACACACACACACACACACAGAGGCAGGGAGACACATAGGGACGGGTCACAGAGAAGCAAGAAAGATACAGTCAGGGAGACACATATACACAGTCAAGGAGATGCACAGAATCAGTCAGGAAAGCACACGGCGAACCAAGGAAACACACTGAACTAGAAGTAGGAAACAGACACTCACACAGAGTCAGGGAGGTGCACAGGGAAACACACAGAGATGGCCAAGGAGATCCACAGCGACACACAAAGGGCACACACAAGGCAAGGAGACACACAGACAGGGCCTCCCACCTACAGTGTCAATATCACACACCGAGTCTGTGCCAGACAAACACAAGGAGACCCACAGTCAAGGCACCCCAGGCAGAGTCAGGGGCGCTCTCTCTCTCTCACACACACAAACAGACACACAGTAATGGAGGACATGGGCTCACACATCCATACACACAAGTGTCCAGCACTGGAGCTGTCATGCACTCAGGCATGCTGATACCAAGTGCCGAGTTGTTATTCCCGGGGGGAAGCCATTTAGCTGACTGGTCTTTTCTCAGCATTGAGTCAGGATTGGCAAAAGGATCTTTCTCCCCTCTCAGCGTCAGAGCAAACCTCAGCAAAGCGAGAGCTGCTGCAGCGGACAAAGTCCAGGGGTGCCCCGTTCCTGAAATCTTTCTCCACTAGCAGCCTGGTCCCAAAAACTGCCCTGACAGCAGTTTAGCTTTACGTGATGTCCATGGGCATCCGGAGAAGAAGCTGCAGTGTGAGAATGATTGTAAGCTCCTTGGGGTAGTAATGTTCCCTTCTTACGTGTCACAAAGCACAAGGTGCACCACAAATACGGCACAGACTATGCAGAGCACTGGAGAGAGGCTGGATCAGACCCCTGACATCCCTGTTCTCAGGTTGCGACAAGCCTTCCTGTACAGTAGTACCAGCTGCCTGGCTGACAGTCATGGACAAGCCAGGAGCAGAAATGAGTTTCCTGCAAGCAAAGGACTCCACTCTGCTTCCCCAGCTTCCCCTCATCCCATAAGCACTGCTATGCAGGAGCCCTTTAAAATGAAAACCACCCTGCCGAGGTGCTGGGATGTCCCAGGGTCAGGGGAAAGGCCTGTGTTTTCAAGTACTGTCTGAGGACATGTCCCGGTTGCTAAAGACAGAAAGTATTTGCAAGCAAAGGGCTCACACTCCGCTGTGTCAGCGCTGCAGTGTCTGCTCCAAATGGACACTTCATTGAAGAGCCCTCGGGAACACCTCATCCGTTTTCTTTTCTGCGCAGTAGAAGGAGAGGACACTTCCCCCCACCCCCGTCTCTTTTCTTGGTCTTTGTTGGATGCTTCCCACTCCCACCAACGGCCATAGTCTGTGGAGCCCACCACACTCTGCCTGCACCATTTCCTAGAGGGATCCTGCTGCTAGGACGGGAGCCACTGCCCGCTCTCCAATAGCTCGAGCTCCTACACCATCCCCCTACAGTGCCTCCTTCTGGAAAGTGATGAGATCGGTGTAGCAGTGAGCACCTCCCACCAGTATTCAAATACCATCTTCTGACAGCTCCACCTGCTGGAAGAGGTCTTTAGTGTAGCAGTTCTAAACCCATCCGGCATGTTGCGTTACAGACAGTGTCCAGCCCAATGGGAAATCCTGCAGAGCACTATTCAAACAAGAGCTCACTGGGGAAGAAGAAGGCCTGGTTAAAGGAGAGCTTCCCTGTAGAAGGAGCAGACTGTCTCATTCCCTCTCTAAAGGCCCGGGCCTGCACCCCCATCTCCTTTCTCACAGGTCAGGGCCATAAAGCACTAGTAGGGGGACAGAATGAGGAGGTTATGATGGGATTGAATGGGAAGGGAGGTGAAGGCCAGCTGATGGCAAATGGGAGCAGAGGTAGGAGCAGGCAATAATGAATAGCAAAGGAGGATGTGAGATGCTGAACGGAGGGGGGCAGGACTTGCATGATCACAAATAGGGAAGAGAGGTGGGGGGCTGGTGATCATGACAGGAAGGAAAGCCAGGCACTGGCAAATAGGAAGGGTCCAGATGATTGAGAATGAATCTCTTATAAAGCAGTTCCCATCCATTACATAAGAACAGCCATACTGGGTCACCAATGGTTCGTCTAGGCCAGTATCCTGTCTCTGACAGTGGCTGGTGCCAGATGCTTCAGAGGGAATGAACAGAACAGGGCAATTTATCCAGTGATCCATCCCCTGTCATCCAGGCCCAGCTTCTGGCAGTCACATGTTACGGGGCAGTCAGAACATGGCGTTACTTCCCTGACCATCTTGGCTAATAGCCATTGATGGTGTCCTCCGTGAGCTTATCTAGTTCTTTACTTAACCCAGTTATACATCGATCCCAACATGCTTGAAAAAGGAAGTCAGCATAATTACCCCCTTTTACAGATGAGGAAACTGAGGCACGGGGAAGGAAACTGACTTGCCCAAGTTTACCCCACAGACCAAAAAGTCTGAGACTCCCTGCAATAACCAAATGGAGCATGGGGACCCATATACAGTCATTGCCAGTTTAGTGCTACAGTGATTTCCCCGGTTACAAGAGCCCTGCAGGGACAGTGTCAGTCTGTGGCAAGAGAATTATGGCTCCCTGTTCCAGAATAAACTAGCCAACCTAGGTTGACGGTTTGATGCCTCTGTATCCAGCTGCTGCTTCTCTGCCAGGTGGCTGAGCTCTGCCAGACTCCTCCCCGGACTGCTCCCAGTTTCCCACCGGGTCGGTGCCAGCATGCGCTCTCTCTGGCCTTGAAAGATTCCAAACGAATAGCTATCACTTCACGCACTTCCTCCTCCAACCGCTCGCTCATCCAGCTGCCGGAAACCTTCATGCCTACCAGGCTGCCTTCTTCTGGAGGAATTTTAGGACAGGTTTGAAAGCAAGTGCAGGGAAGGTAGAATTCCAGCTGCCACCCCCACCCCCAAAAGGAACAGGGAATGTTCAGCCTGCCCACGTGGCAACACTTGGCCAGGTGTTTCTTAACTCTGAGCGTGACGTGCCCTGGATGGAGCCTGAAATGAACTGAAAATGCAAGAGCCGTCTGTGTAGGGAGGCTGATGTGACATGCCAGGCCAAGGAGTCAGAAGGGCAGAGCTTGGGATGCTTGTCTGTTATTCAAGAGTAGCAGAGCCTAAAGATTCATGCTGCTGTTAAAGGGAACCTGCTGTGCAGAGGAGACCACTGCCTCTAGCTGCTTATTTGAACTGGCTGGTTATGCTCCAGCACTGCCTGCTTTCTAACAGTTCCAGCCAACACACCAGCTTCCGCCCAGCAGTGCCAGGCAGGACATCTGGGCTGCAAGCTTCCTGGCAGTAGTGCCCTGGCAGTGCCAGGCAGGAAGATATGAAAAGCAAATATCCCAGAGCAGTGGAAGCTGCATTCCTGCAGTGTCCACAAGCAGCAACAGGGACTGTCTCTTTGTTCTGTGTTTGTACAGCACAGTGGGGCCCTAGCCCACGACTAAGGCTCCAGAAGCGACCATAATACATAAAATAATAAATAATAATAAGGCTGAAAGAAATGTTTGGAAGCTGGTGAAATTGTAAGTTTCTCCTTCCTCTCCGGAGCCCCACCCCAGCTGTCTTCAAAGAGGAGAGTGTCTTGATCCTGATCTGCTCTCAGAAAGCTTTTCCCCTTTGGACCTGGCCAGGCCCTGCCAACAGCCACAGCCCATCCTCTCTGGGATATTTGCTTTGCCTATAGTATAAATCTTTCCCCAGCTTAACCCGTTCCTTGCTTTCTCACAGATTATGTTCAAGCCTTCTCTCTCCATTACTACTTCATCAGGGTTTAGGATGACATTT